TTCTGTGCATGCACAGAAATGTTACATGCACAGGCAAGTGCACATGTGTGCACGAGCGAACCGGTAGTAAAAAAAATGGAAACCCACCACTAGATAGGTTGCATTTGAAATGGTCATGGAGGAGGAGAGAATGATGTCATCTGTTCCTGCGCTCAGAAAGCAGTGAGAACTGCTGATAATGAATGAAGTAGAAAATGCAGATATGCCCTTAGTTACTTTCTTTGCTCCTTATTAACATGAACATGATAGCACTGAATAATCCTTCAGGATTCTTTCATCATCACACCAATATTCAACTTACAGTAGAAATAAAATGCTGCAGGAGACCTCTATTGTTTTGTAAACTTTGTTTTTGGTGGAACTGGAATATGAAATATGAAGAGCATTTTAGTAATTCAGATATAACAGAAAGAATACAATTATTTCCTCCTTGTCACTATTTTTGGCGCCAGTGCCCAGTCATTTCTATGTTAAATCTTGGAATATTCCATTGATTCCATTTATCCACAGGCCACATTTAGGAGTAATTTCTCAATGTAAACCAGGAAATGACCTATCCAGAAGAGATGGATCGCTCTTGCCCTTTTAATATTTCTTGTGTCTCTTCCTCAATTTTCTTTTCCTTTTTATTCTCAATGGGATTTGATATATTAGATTCTCTTTCATCTAGGGAAGCTCAAAGACTATTATTAGATACCCTACTGTCCTATGCAGCTTTATTCTCACAGAAGTAGAATTTGTAGTTGTATATGGTATCTTATTCTATCAAATATGAAACCAACATCAAATATTACACTCACATTCTTTTTTAAAAAGTATTAATGTCTTAAAGAAGTCAAACATAATAACCATTCTGCTTTCATTCTCTGAGCAAGGTGTAATGTACTTTTAAATTACATTGAATTTAGATAAGAAGTAAAGACATTATTAGCATTTGTTGATTTTCCATGATCATCAGTGGCAGATGCAAAGCCCTGACCTATTAAATCAAATTGAATATTTAGGTTAAATTTCAAGTCTAACCAGATTTTTAAATTATTCTTAAAAACTGTGGACATTGACCTCTATAGCTATTAATTAGATAATGTTGCTTTGTCCATGACTTCTGTGTGGTATATGTAGCATTCCAATCTCCATCTTTATCCTTATAACAGTCATGTAAGGTATGTTAGGTATGAAAGATGATGAAAGTCTGAAAATAAGCAATTGTCAGAGATTTAAACCCAGATTTCTCCACTTTTAATTCAGCCTTTAACCATCAAACCATACTGGCTATAAAAACCAATGTTTCTTATTATTGTGGGAACTGTTCAACTTGCCCTTTTAGATTTAGATTTAGATTTAGTTTATTGTCACTGTATGTATATACACAGTATATCCATATAACGAAATTCATATAACACAAAGAGACAAGGCCCAACACACATGACAATCACTCCACACACACCACCCTCCAAAAATTCCCTNACATATCTTATTAATGGTTAGACAAAAAAATATGGAAGTGAAATATGCTAGAGAATTTTATAAAGAAGTATTACTAGTGGATGGACTTAGGATGATGTAATGAAATGTCATAATATAAATTTATTCAAACTTTAGAATATCTCACATAAAATGAAGTAATAATAGTTATAGTCAAATAAATATTTAACAATGATAATAATTGTATACATATATATCAGATTGTTAATATGAGATTCTATATAAATTGTAAGTGAAGACTATGGTGAGGATGCACAAAAGTTTTGTAACCAATCAACACACTGTACGAAATTGAAATATGGTTTTCTGTTTGTCTAAAAAACAAACAAACTGCGAGCAGTTAGGACACTGATGGCAAACCTTTTTTTGCTGGCATGCCAAAAGCGGGGGGAGCACAGGGGGGTGTCGTACGCCAGTGTGCTACATACATCAGCGCCCCCCTGCTTTTGCTGTGGTTTTTTCACCTTCCCCAAGCTCCAGAGGCTTTCTAAAAGCCTAGGGAGGGTGAAAGCAGCAACCCCAGGACATCCTTTGGAGGCCTCAGGAGCTTCCCTGAATCCTCCGGAGGGCGAAAAATGGACCTACAAGGAATCTGGAAGTTCAGGAATGGTGACTTCTGGTTTGTTCGTAGGGCCGATTTTCGACCTCCGGAGCCTTCAGGAGGCTTCCCTGAAGGCTCCAAAGGGTGAAAAATGGACCTACGGACAAACCGGAAGTCACTTCCAGTTTGCTCGTAGGGCCGGTTTTTGCCCTTCCCAGCATATTTATACTATTATACAAGCTGTATATGCACTACTTTACATTGTAGCCAAGTGTCATTTCTTCAGTGTTATCAGATGAAAAGATATGTTTACAAAATGTGAGGGGGTGTACTCACTTTTGTGATCACAGTATCACACATTACAACAGCTGCATTTTCTCCCACCTTAACATATCTTAACTTTTAACATAATTATTTTGAATTAACACACAATTTGTATTTGTCAGCGATTCCCAAGTATTTTACCTTTTCATTCTCAAAACCATTTTAGTCATCTTTTATATTCTTCAATATCTCCCTCCCCCCATATACACAAAACAACAACCCAATGAAACAACAAACCAGTGAAACAACAAATCAAAGAAGCGTAAAGAGGCACAGAAGATGAAACAAAACTCTGTTAAAGTAAGAGGTGTAGATTGCAGCCAATCCAGGCAGCAGCTCCTTTTCTCCCTCTCTTTTAAAGCCGTTTCTTTGCCTTTAATGCAGGAAGCCAAGATGGAAAACTAGTTTCCCTCTCCCTATCCAAAAAGTGCTCCCTATCCATACTAGTGTAAAGACACGATCGAAGGCACCAGTCCTTTCACCATTCCCAACACTCCTGGAGGACACTAAAACCGGAACCCACCCCCTTATTAAAAGGTTATACAGGTAGTCCTCGATTTACAACAATTCATTTAGTGAATCTTCGAAGTTACAAAGGCACTGAAAAAAAATGACTCATAACCCCGTTTCACATTTATGACCGTTGCAGCATCCCCACAATCACATGATCAAGATTCGAATGCTTGGCAACTGGGTCATATTTAGCGTCCTGGGGTCCTGTGAGCCCCTTTTGTGACCTTCCGACAAGCAAAGTCACTGGGAAAGCCAAATTCACTTAACAACGGTGTTGCTACTTTAAACAACTGTTTAACAACCACAGTGATTTCCTTACCAAACATGGTAAGAAAGGTCGGTAAAATGGGGCACAAAACTCACTTAACAAATTTCTCCCTTAGCAACAGAAATGTGGGGCTCTGTGGTGGACGTAAGTCGAGGACTACCGATATTTACCTGCAAAGCCCCAGGGACTCACCTTCACTAAGGGGGGTAAGCTTACCTGTGGTGGATGTAAGTCAAGGACTACCTGTACTTACCTGCAAAGNCACTAAGGGGGGTAAGCTTACCTGTGGTGGATGTAAGTCAAGGACTACCTGTACTTACCTGCAAAGCCCCAGGGACTCACCTTCACTAAGGGGGGGGGGGTGAGGTTACTCTTCCTGCCCAAACCCGAGCTTTTGTTTTTTTAATTCCAAAAGTCAGCAGCTTTCCTTCCTTCGTTTTCCCCACCCCACTAAAAACAACCCCACCAGCCCTCCAATTCCGCCCCTCCCGGACCGAATTCTAACGTCCCAAGAACTCTCACAAACTCCGCGTTGCGCGGCAACCGCCCGCCAAGCTTCTCACCGGAAGCGGAAATCACTTGGGTGTGCTCGCCATTCCCTCGCTGAGTGAGTGTGAGAGAGAGAGAGTTGGGCGGGAGCCGTTGGGTTGTGTGGATGGGTTCCTAGGAGTGGTTGCGTCGGTCCCGGGTTTCCTCCGCGGGCCTGAAGCCCCGCCTTGGGTTTGCCCAGTCTCATGTATCCCCTTCGCAGTAGGAGGAGGAGATGGTGGTGGAGGAGGCGTAGCCGCGTCGGTGACGAGAGTTTGAGCGTCTCCGAGACAGTTCGGTCCCCCACTTCCGTCTCACGCCTTTAGACCTCTTTTGCATTCATTTCCCACCCTTGGGGAAGAAGGGGTAGTGCTAATAATCCCCCCCCCCCTCAGTGGGAAGCGGTGCCCCCAAAGCCTCCGACGTCGTGGTGGACTGCGTGAGGTAAACCGGGGCTATATGGTCAGGAAGGTTGGGGTTGAAGAGCCAAAAGACTGCAAAAGTTTCCCGTTGGGCACATTTCTTGAAATCCTCTTGAGATGTGTGTGTGTGTGTGGGGGGGGGGGAGTGTGCTTGTATAGTGTAACCTTTATTGTCATTGTACATCATGTATACAACGAAACGGGTTTTAGCCTCACTGGTGCAATCCATGACAAAAAATACAAACAACGTAAATAGTATAAAGATTAATCTCTCTGCAAGTAATTAGAAAAAAGAAAGAAAAAGAAAAACTAGTCACACGTTTCTGCATGTGCGGAGTGATTGTGGTTGTTTTTAAGAGTCTGACAGCCCAAGGATAGAAACTATTTTTAAACTTATTTGTTCGGCTGACTATGCTTCGATGTCTTCTGCTTGGGAGAAGATTGTGCATGCGACAGAGGTTTGGTGTTGCTATCCCATGCGATATATAAATCCCACCGAACTTAGTGGCTCTGGGTGGTTTGACTTAATGAACCACAAATTAGACCAACACATTTTATGAACCGTTATTGAATATGGTTCAGTGGGTTGTGAACATAAACACACACATATATGCACATACCCTGATTTACTCAGTCATGGGTGAGACTGTTGTAGTTAGAGCAGTGGCTTCCAAGGTAGGGCCCATGCCCTACGGGGGGGGGGTTGATTTTTAATGGGGGCAATTTGAACCTTGTTAATGGCCTTTTAGGCTTCCTCATCGTGAGTAGAGTTCACTTTTTGAGTAAAGTAAGAATTATATATGGGGGGAGGGGCATCAGGATTTTAGAGATGCTTAGATGGGGCATGACCAAAAAAGGTTAGGAACCAGTGAGTTATAGGTTCAAACTTTTGAGTAGCATTGAAGTAATTACATTTTCATAGAAAGAAGAGGATCACTTATTTGGTTTTTTTCTGGAAACAATGGCTTCTGCCCTCTGATTGGAAAATACTAAACAACTCTTATACATTTTGGCAATGTATGGTCGTTTGTTCTGCAAGCTTGTTTCAATTTAGTTTTATACCTAGTTATACTGAGAAACAATTCATTATTCTATATATAATTTTATAGATTCTATAATAATTCTTATGAGTTAGGATTAACTGTGTGATTGCGTTAGTAATTTGTGGGGTTGAAACCGCATTTTCTATACTCGATTCACTATAGGTTGGGAATGACTGGTAATTATTGCCTTGGTTTTTATGATGATTTGATAATTAAAATAGCACTGAAGTTTGTGATAGTATAGCTGTTGCAGGAAACACAGACTTGTAATATTTTGATTGGATTGCTGAAGCGAATTCCCTGGAATGGTCCAAAAAAAGAAAAGTTTTGTTACACCTAGATACTTTTGTAATTTTCTTCAAGTTCTATTCTGTGGGGAACTTGAAGACCATCACAAAAATATCTTAAGTGTAAACAGTGTGAATTAATGGCCTGCTTTTAATACAGGTAGTTCTCAATTTGCAACCATTCATTTAGTAACCGTTCAAAGAAAGTGAAAAAAAAGGACATGTCCATTTTCCACATTCCCTGTGATCATGTGATCAAAATTCAGTCACTTGGCAATTGGCATATATTTATGATGGTTGCATGTTTTGTGATCGTCTGACAAGCAAAATCAGTGGGGAAGTCTGATTCACTTAATAAACTTGTTACTAATTTAACAACTGCAGTGATTCTTGTTGCAAGAAAGATTGTAAACTGGGGCAAAATTCAGTTAACAACTCTCTTGCTCAGTGGTGGAAAGTTTGGGCTCAATTGTGGTAAATCGAGGACTCCCTGAAATGACAACAGGTAGATAAAGCAATATTCCTTATCGGAATTACCTCAGTGTGTGCTCCAGTGGTGGGTTCCGGATCCTGTTGCAACTGGTACAGTTCAGTGGGGCCGGGCATCCACCACATGCATGCATGCATGCAGCGTGCGCATGCGTACTTACCACCCGCGACGCTCTGCAATGCTTCAGCTGCTCGGCGGAGCGTTGCACAGGTGGTGTATGCTCCGTGCGCAGAAGCCCCGATTCGCTCAAATAGAGGTAAGGAGGGCGGGCGGGCCCTCTGGAGCACCATACCGGAACGGTACCTGGTGTTCCCAGCAGGCCCTAGTACACCCGTATTGGGGCGTACAGGTCATATCCCACCACTGGTGTGCTCATAATATTGAAGTTGAGTCTGAGTACATATTAAAATTCTAAATTTCCCCATCTCAAATATTTCATATACTTGTGATTAACCAAATGAAAAATATCCCAGTTGCTGAAAGTTCAGGGGAACAGTTCAAAGTTTTAAACTATTTGGGTCATAGAAAACAATGGAGCTTGTAACTCCATTTGCCTTTTTTTATATCCTAGAAGTTGTGAGTTGTGTGCTTACTATTAGCTGCCACCCCACTCTACCAAAACAAAGCCCAAGAAAATACTTAATAATAATAAAACATACACAATTAAAAAATGCTTTGGCAATTTTTATGTAGGCTAGGTGAAAAAAAACAATCAGCAGCATGGATTTCTATTTGCAAAGCAAATTTAAATAACCGGCTTGTTAAATTGTTGATCATCTCTCATTAAAAATGCTAATCAAAAAGCAAGTCTGCTATATATCCTATAATTTCAGTACATAAAAAAGATAGCTATTTACTTCCCCCTGAGCGTACTTAAAATGACATTCAGAGCCTCAATATTTTGGATGTCCCTACAACATCCCTTTCGCTTTGTCTCCAGTTCCAGTGGGAACTCTAAAACTTCCTATAACCATCCAAAGCAGTGATCTTTGGATCATTAGTGCTTTTGGATTGGATGCTATTTGATGCTTCACTGTATATATTAGAACTTATTCATAACATATATTATTTGGAAAAATGTGGTATCTACTAAGATAAAAACAGCAAAATATAAAAGCTTTAATTTTGGGTATAATTTTCATTTTCAGTATAATTAAAATTTCTATTCTGAAAGGTATATAAAGGGAGGAGGGCAAGAAATATTATTATTGCCTTGGGGGAAATATTTTGTGTAATGTTTGATGCCCCTTTTAAGTTAGGAATATACCAGATATAATCTGATTCTGATTTTCTGAATGATTTTCCCCCCAGCAATCTTGAAGAACACATCTGTACATAGTTTATTGACTGAGCACAATGAGCAGTGAAGAAGAAGCATGGGAGAAATTGGATTCAGAATTTGACCATTATGTTGTGGATATGAAGTCATATGTTTTAAAACTACCTCATAAATCAGGTAAAGATTAGACAATTGATGCATTTCATATTTTATTTTGCATTATATAGAAACATGACTCAGTAAAATAAGCAATAATGTTACTTAATTCTTAAAATTACTGGAAAATGTGATTTGGAAGAACCTTACATACTGGCAGATACATGATTTTCCCTTCATACTTTTAGTGCAAAACACAAAAATAGAATGCTATGGGGGTCTGGATAGGAAACAACAGACTTCAGCTCAACCTTGGTAAAGTGAGGTGGCTATGGGTGGATGATGGTGGATTTATTTATCATCTTGGTTTTGGATGGTTTGGCACTACCTCAGACAGATGCTCAATCTAGGGACCCTCCTGGACTCATGGCTCTTGCTCGAAGAGCAAGCAACATTTGTGGCTAGGAGAGCCTTTGCTCAACTTCATGTTGTGTGACAGTTACACTCATTCTTGGGTAGGGAGGCTCTTTGCTCAGTCATCTCTGGTCATCTCATTTCTGGTCATCTCCTGTCTGTACTAATGCAATGTGTGCTAGATAGGTCTACTATTGAAAAGTACTCAGAAGCTTCAGCTGGTACAGAATGAGGCTGTGTGAGCAGTTGTAGGTGCCCCAAGAATAGCACATGTAATACCTCTGCTGCAGAATCTGCTTTGGGGGTTGGTTTGCGTCTGGGTCCAATTCAAGATGTGTTTATGCTTTTTAAAGCTGTACATAGCATGTGGCCAGATTCCCTGTAGAACTGTCCTCACTCTATTACATTGGCCCATCCCACTCGGTCAGACAGGGAAGATATTTGCGAACCCTTTTGGTTAAAGAATTGCAACTGTCAGGGCCCAGGAAAAGAGCTTTCTCTGCTGTTGTCCCTTCCGCCCTTTGGAACCTTCTCCCCGTATAGGTGAGACCTGCCCCAACCTTCCTTTTAGTTTGTAATTGCTTGGGGCTCACAGAAGAGCATGCAGCCATTTGGCTGGCTAGTATTCCGAAACCCCTCCACTGTTTTAATCTTGAACTTTTACCATTCCTGTGCTAACTGTTTTTATTATAATATTTATGTATAGTTTTTATGTTACTGGTATTGTACTTATTTGTACCCTGCCCAGAGTCGCTCTCTGAGGAGATGGACAGTTTTTAAATATGGTATATAAATATATAAATAAAAGCGGTAGAGAGTTTGGAGAACATTAACATGCCTAAGTTAAATTTATTTTATTTTTAAATTACCTTATGAGTTAAGGATAAGAAAAAAATTAGAGAACTTGATACAGTGATCAGAGCAGTTGGATAGAAAGCTAGTCATTTGCAAACCTGAGGTAAATAAAAGGAGTTATGATTCAATTCAACTTGAAAGAAAGCTACACAAGGAGAACAACTTTTTGTTTGGAACAACTGTTAAATTCCCAGAATCATCAGAGGAAAAAGATGCAGTCGGTAAATGTAGCAAAATATTTTCCATCCTCTCAATCTTCATATTAGGATTAGTCTATAATGTAAATTTCTCCTTTGAATTTGAAGGTTAAAAATGTATTTATTTGCTTCCCAGTCAATCATTGCTTACTGGAGTTGGTATAAGAACTTGCCTAATTTTCAAAGGAGTCACACTTTGGCTGTCTAAACAAGCCCAGAAAGAATCATTTTCTTTTCACATGAATAAATATGTTAAAATAAAAACCCAATTAATTAAATTAATTAATTTGCCAATTAATTTAAAAATTAATGTAGCATATAATTGTTTATTAATGTAGCATGCAACTGTTTATTTTTTTAAAAAAGTCTTAACTTAAAAGTAAATGTATCAGTCTATCCACATCTTAATGTTTCTTGTGTTATTAGGTACTTAAGGATAATATTCTGCATAGCATTTTAAGTAATACATTTGTTTTGTAATCTTTATCCTGAAATAAAGAAGTTGCATGTTTGACTTCAGGATGGAGAAATAGTTACTATTTTCTGTTTCCTAAATGTATCTTTTGCCTTCTTCAGAACGTTACAGGTGTGCTGTTTGGATTAAAAAACTTTGTGAGCCTTCAGGTGCTGGTACAGGAATTGTTGGTAGAAAGAATAGAAACTTATATGCAAAACTGCTTCTTCATATGCTAAAGAGAGGAGTGTTGGAGGGACCATTTACACAAAAACCTGAATCAGGCATATTGAAAGCACTTCCATCATACATGGTAAATATATAATTCTTTGCTATAATTTAAAATCAGTATGTTTCATATTTCTATTTATGGGAAGAGAGAACTGATTAGGGCTTCTTTTATTTATTAATACAATTTATATGGCTGCCCAGTTATTCAAAAACTCTGGGGAGTGAACAATCCCCCCACCTTGAGAATTAGGCTAAAAGAAATAAACTAAGACTGCTTTGAGGCACACTAAAAATGCAAAAGTACTAGATTCATTTGCCCATGCCAGAGCTCCCATAATAATGTCCCAAATCAATGCCTGGGTTTACTCTAGTTGCTTATTGTGAATAATACATCACAGGATGATGTTACCACTAATTTAGAATAAACTAGTATTAACATTAAGAAGTAAAATATTTTAGCACCGTTACATGTGATAAGATGCATAAGAAAAATGTAGGGTAAGGACAGGTAGCAAGGATGCTGAGCATGACCATGTTGCAAAAACTGTAAAACCAGGTCAGGTTACATGGCTATTAATTGCTGTCATATTCTGGAGGCTATTTCAATAATTTTAATACATCTGCAGTTTTCCTTAAATCTTGATTTGATGAGAGATGTTGAACGTAGCATTCACAGGACTCATCAGAGAAAGTTTGAATTCTGGGCCATTAGTAATGTCTCGGGAACTTTTGTAGAAAACATAGTATGAGAAGATATGAGCCAAAGATACTACTACTGCAATATGAAAACAGACAGAACTGCATGTTTTTGAATATGCCTCAGTCTATTGACAGTACAGTACTGTCATGGCAGTTGTAGGAGATTTAGATATGTTAATAGGGAAGTTTGTAAAATAAATAACCTGTGCACATTTGAATACATTTCTGATTTAAACTTGCAGCAAAGGGTGTATTAATTGGAAATTGAAAGAGCAGTAGCTCATATATTATACTAAGTGATGGTTTGTTGAATGGATCCAATAACTACCTAGTATTTAAAGTTATTGTGGAATTTATTAAACAAAGTAATTATTACTTCTGGAAACTTACATTGTGAAATATATTTTTCAATATTCTATTTTGAAAATCTAGTCAATCTATTTTGATGAACCAAGTTCAAAAAGAGCTTGGAGTAACTTCCCAGAAGATTTACGTGACTGGGTCATGGAAGAATTGGGCCAGAGTGACCATAAACCAGATGAATCCTGGAAACTTTCTTTTAAAGAAGAATCTGCTTTGGTTAGCACACCATCTAAACAGAGGTAAGAATTGGAGACATATTAATTAATGCTAGACTGATGTTCTTTTTATATTTTCAAAATGAGTAATTTTAAAAATAGTTCATGGTTGTAGTTTATCTCTAAGAGACTTGGTTTCTTCTGATGTGGTGGATTGGCCTTTGTTATTTAATAGGAGATCAACTTATTAAAGTGGCTTCATTTGTACTTATGGCTTGGCTTCATCTGTACTTATGACTTGTCCTTACCAATTGGTGGTTACATTTCTTTTTCTAGTACCATGCTTCAATTTGCCTCAGTAATTGTATTTTTACTGTCAGTTGTTTAGGCTCTAATTAGAAACCAAGAGACCATGAATTCTAGTCCCAGCTTAGCTAAGAAAGCCAGCTGGGTGACCCTGTGCCAGTCACACTCTCAGCCCAACTCATCTGACAAGATTGTTGCTGTGGGAAAAATAGGAAGAGGAAAGTGTGTTGGATATATTCACCACCTTGAGTTATTTGTAGAAATAGTAAAGGCGGGATACAGATAAACAAAAAAATAAAGCAGGAGTGGATCACCTGCAGCCTTCAAGTCTTTTGGTAGCTTTTGTAACCTTCAGAATTCAGTGATGGAATTGCTGCATATCAGTCTCACTGTTCATGACAATTGAGGTTGGAATTATGTGACATAGGTACTGATTAATTATGTGTCATTAAGTTGGTATTGACTCTTAGTAATCACATAAATATATTTTTCTTCCTGAACAATCTGACACTAACCTGGTCTTCCAATAGTTGAATGTTCCAATAGTTGAATGTTAGTTGAATGTACTATCTGAGTACTTGAGAGACCGCCTCCTGCCAATTACCTCCCTACGACCTATTAGATCGCACAGATTAGGCCTCCT